CCCCTCCCCTCCACCTCTTTCGGAGCCTGCTTTAGCAGTAAGGCAGCTGAAAACGAACTGCTGGAGGGAAGAGAAACTATCTGTGATGAATCATTTGGCTTTGTGCAATCTTTACCTAGGACAGAGGGCAAATGTATCTTAACATATATGTTATTTCTTGGGAAGGGGTGTGGATATGATATCCAGCGAGCGCTAAGGTAAGGCATCGAGTCAAACTTTCTGGATTTTAAGGCAAACTTTCAAAGGCAGAGAATTTGACCTTGCAAGTAGGAAAGTTTTCTCTCCTCAGGGAAGTATGTTCGAGCTGTCTGCTGCCAGCTTAAAGGTGGTGGCGTTTGAATGTACGAGAGTCTGCGGCACTGGGGGTACAGGAGCTGAAAAGAGAAACCTGACAGTCTTTGCTTTGCTAGTGAGAGCGTAGTTGCGATGCTCTGCACCGGGCAGGTAATGTGGGGGTGTTGCAGTGTCCATCCAGCAGCTGCCCGGGTAGCAGCGTCTGAGTGTCTTGCTGAAAAGTTTTGCCTGTGTGTGTGAGAGACAGAGAGCGAGGGCGTGTATTGGCTCTGGCTCTGAAGTGTGAAAAGTTAATAAATACGAAGAACAGAATGGGCATGTGAGGCCTTTCTGCTTTAGTCTAGATTGCTTGCCAAGAGGATTGAAGACTTACAAAATGAAAGCATTCAAACAGATAGCTTTGAACAACTGATTTTTACGTGTGGTTGTAATCTGGGTAAATGAATTAGCTGCGCCTTCTTATGGAACTGTTAAATTTGTCATCGTAGCTCTACCGATCACAAGCCATTGCATGGGTTTGTGCAGGTCGGCAGTATCAGATCTCTGCCCCTCACTTCACGGTGCAGGAGATGCAATTACACCTCAGATGGGCTCAGGAGGAAAAACAAACAAACAAACAAACAAACCCAATCGTATTTACTGTCGATAGTGACTTTATGGAAGCTAATCTACTTGAAAACGTTGCAGGCTGCCTTCAGTTCTATGTCAGATCCCAAATGGGCAACATGTACAGCTTCACAGTGTTTGTCAGGCGGTGTCAAGGTTGCTTTAAATCTATAATGTGAAAACAAAGCAAAGTCGACTGAAGAGCTTGCTCGAGTCTGTTTAGCCCATAAGCAAATTCCGTCACTGAAATATTTCCAGGAGTGGCAATAACCCCTCCGAAAGAGAAGGCGATGAAAACGCAGATAGTAAAAGTGTAGCTGCATTAACTGCCTCTAGATCATGTCCCTGAAGACGTCCATCAAAGCGTTAGGAAGAGGTTCTCTGTTTTACCTGCTGTGGCCTGTTCCAGCATCACAGCGTTTCCTTCTCGTTTCGTGCTTTTCTGATAAAACTTGCATGAACGCTGGCTCCAGGTTCTCGGCGAAGAAACACAGAACCCTCGGAGAGAGACTTGGTTGGGCTTTGGCTGTAAAATACCTGCTCGTCGGGGTGTGCAGGCTGGCTCTTACAGGAGAGAGGGGAACTCTCCGGCGTTTCTTATTGATCGTGATGGGTTTACTTGCTCCAACTTTGGAGAAAGCAGTGTGTGTTTCTCTTTCTCCAAAGCTGTTAACTGCTTGGTACAGGAAAGGGGCTTTGACAAGGATCAATTTTTATTGCACGGCAAAGACTTGCATTTTCCAAATGCTTAAGGATATAGCCCACAGCATTAAGCGTCTTTGCTTGGATTTGAACAGTGTTACGTTGTTTATGTGCAAGAACCACAAAGGTTATTTTAAATCATTGTGGGGCTTATTGCATGTTTGTGCGCTGGCACCAAAAATTCAAGGTGAAATATAATTGTGTTGAGTTTCTTATCAACAAAGGGCCATTATTTCCAGGTTGTGAGTGAAACAAGACATGAACGCTGGAGGAAGATGTAATGGCAGCTTTTAGCGTTTAAGGTTATTAAGTTTTGGTGGTGGTGGTTTTTTTGTTTGTTTTGGTTGGGGTTTTTTAATGACTGCTTTCTAGGGAATACAGATTGGAACTGGCACAAAGCTGACCGGGGGTAAAGTAATAGAGCAGGCAGGCTGCACAGAAAAATGACAAATAATTATCATGATTAATACAGGGAAGTTCAGTGCAAAAATGGGCACCAGAGTATTTGCATGGTGCAATGAAAGACAACTGTGATATATAAATAGACAAGGACTATAAATATTGAATTTCACCTTGTATTTTAAAGTTTAATAGACTCATCTAAATATCAAAACCTGTAGTGTTCTGTGGGCCAGCGCGGGCTTGACATCTGCAGTAGTATCAAAAGAGGGAAAAGGGGGAAAAAAAAAAACCACACAACACAACAATAAACGAGAACTAAACCAAAAACACAGAACACCAGGACATCTCCCAAACTGTAGCCTGGAAAACTGGGAGGACTTCTCCAGGCAGTTGTCTAGCTCTCCCAGCTAATTATAGTGCTTTACACCGAACTGCTCTTGAGATAAGTGTAACTGTTCTCTTCCCTAGCACGGGTGAGTTATACTCCAGGGCTTAAATAAACATCCCCCAGCGCAATCAGCGCGGGAGGCAGAGCGAGCAGCACCGAGCCCTGCGTGCAGTCCATTGTGTAAACACCGGGTGTCTTTTCTTCCCAAACAATGCAAAAGCCCGGCAGCACGTCGCAGAGAAGGAAGCTGCTTGTAAATAGCAGCTAAAAGTATCATTACAGCCTGGCAGCATCGGGGTAGCAGGAGAAATGACGGAGCGTTTCTGTAAGAGAAACCCAATGGCGAAGTTATTAATATTCCCAGAAAGAAGAAGGTATTAGCATTTCAGGTGAGGAAAGAATGGGCACTTTCTTCCCCAAAAAAAATCAATACAGAATTCAAAACCGATTATTAATGTCATTTGACTCCCGTTCTTTATACCTTCCTCCCGGCTACAGATACTGAGCTGTCAGGATAATTTGCATGTACTGTATCTGATATCTTTTATTTGCAAACACTCTAAAGAGCCATAAAACGCCGCTCGTCGTAGTCTAACTCAATCCGAGGACTAGTATTTTCATCTGTAAATTAAAGCAATTACGCAGCAGATATTATATTATGTGTACTGTGGTCTCCAGATAGTCATCAATCACCCTCAATCGAGCTGTCAGTGTGGGCAGATTCGTTTCTGGGAGGCAGTCTTCCAGCTGGGGAGAAGAAGAGAACATCATCATTAATTAGAGTGTGACCCTGGGGCTATTCACATGTCTGAACCCAGGAATCTCTCTGAGCAAGTCTGCACACCGCGGAGCAGCGTTCGACTGCACCAGCAGCCGAGCTTCAGCCTCGGAGATGACTCCTCCGCTTCCTCCACCCGCTGGGCGGTAGCTGGCCGTCGGGGGGAGATGCTGGGGCTACCACGGTCACCTCCGCCGTCCGGTAGCCCCAGCCTCTCCCCTCGACGGCCGCTGCCTCCAGGGTGAATTGGGGAGATGATACTGCCTGCTTGTTGGAGGGGGTCCCAGCCCCCAGAGGGTAGGGAGGCTGATGGCAGCGGTGGGGCGAGAAGGGGATGATGGAGAGGGATTCCTTCTCAGGCCCTCCTTCACTCGGGGTTCCTCCTAACTACCAGGAAAGACATGTTTGCTCTTCGGGTGAGAAACAGCACTTGGCGCATTGGAGTCGCCTCCCTCCCTCCCTAATTTCTCCCTCCCTTCTTTTACCCTCCCAGCCCCGGCTGTGCACACCCCGGAGCACAGGCAGGCTGGATAAGGCCCTCAGCCCCTCCAAAGGCTGGCTTTTCCAGTCCACGTTCGCCATGGGATCAAAGCCGTTTTAACGTGAAAAGTCACGTCCTTTCAATCATCCCCCGGAACACGCTTGTAGGGTTTTCTACCTGTAATCACACGTCTGGAATAAAAGCCGGGGAAAAAAAAAAAAAAAAAGCAGAAAGAAAAAAGCAGGATTGCATGTCATGTGCTTTATTGTCAGCCTTAGCGCTAATTTTAACTGTTGATTAAATCTTAAATGAAGACTCACTCGTGTGTCCCTTCATATGTCTTGTTTGTAATTGAGACTAATTATTACTGTGGGGTGGGAAGAAGCAGCTGCTCATTAATTAATTTCTAATTAAAAGTGCTTACCAGCCCTTCAGTGACGAAGGAGGGTGGGGGGAAAATCTTATCTGATACAACATTGATCCTTCAGATTAAAACCATCCATTTTCTTCCGTTTCCCGCAGAAATACATAGAAGTGTTGCAAGCAGGCGTAGCCGCTGCCGGAGAGCTTTCCCAACTTTCCCTGCTCTTAGGCAGACTGCAAGGGATGCTGGAGAGTCTATTTCCACGCCTGGGGAAAGGGTCCAGAAAATGAATGTCAAACTTACAGACAGGTTAATTTGAATACGTTTTGCGTGACGTCAAAAGCTCGGCTCTTTTAAAACAACCTACTTCCGAACTGATGTATTTATACCAGTTTTCTTCCACCCCCCACCACCCCCCCTCCTCCCCCGGAGCCCACACGTAACAATTATTTCTGTTTCGTAGCTGTAGAGGGAAAGGTGCTAAAATCACGATGTATTCCCCCACCCCCTCACCCCCATTTCGCTTCAAAGAAAACAGTAAGTTTAAGATTTCATGTAAATAAATTAAATGTGGTTTTCTGCTTCGTCCTATAAGCATCTAGGGACCTGTGGTCACCAATCAATTGGTACAATAGAGCAGAGCCAGGCTGCAATAGCGTGCAGATCAGACGTCTCGCCTTGTTTCTAGATAACCGGGAGCCTCTGTACCATGTCATATCCTCAGTTTGGCTACCCTTACTCCTCTGCACCCCAGGTAAGACTTTTTGCCTACGAATGCTAATTGATTTCATTTCAGTCCCTATTGATTACTCCCGTCCGGGGCTAAGAGAGGCAGCGATCCTTCCCAGCGTGCGGGAGCGGCAACCCGAGCTGCTCGCTCCGCAGCTTCCCGAGACGCTCGAGTCGTAGCTCACGCACACACTTGAAAATGGGAAGGAACACGCGGGATTTAGGATGTTGGGGGGTGATAACGACGGGTGGGGGAGGATTACAGCCATGAGGGAGGTGAGAAGGGGAGTCTGAGATTCTCCAACCCCCACCCGCTCCAAAATAGTGAGGTCCGGACAGTAGAAACATAATGGGATCTTATAAACCAGCAGGTTAATAACAGATGCGTGCGTGCCTGCCACAAATCTGCAGTCAAAATAAATATGCATGAGTGACTTAGAAAAAAAGGTTTAAAAACGCAGATGGGAAGCATTGTGCTGCAAGAGAAGAAAACCGGTGTAAACCCAGACTTGTAAGAACACACCAGAAAAGTTAGTTTTTAAATGCAAAGGGCCGGAGCAACGTATTAAAGAAGATTAAACGCCCACAGTCACTGGGCGTTTGTTTGTTGTTGTGGGTTTGTTTTTTTTTTTGTAACTCGTACAATACTTGCACCTCTGCGTTTCTCCACAGCGTTTTTAGCCCGATTGAAGTCAAATACGGAAGGGGAGAGGGTGGGTGACGGGACACAGAGCGCAAAGCCGCGACGTGATAAAAACCCCAAAACCCCTAAACTTGATTACAGTTCGGGAAGTTCCTCCACCCTCAGCGCCGCTCTCTTT